AAATTAGTCAAGAACTGCGGACCACCTCTTATTTTCGAATGTCTTCTTGGGATACCAGCTTTTTTATGGCCATTATAGTTTTATTTATTGAGGAATTGCTTTCTGAAGTTGAATTTGTTTTTGTTAATGTTTTGGTTGTTTGTTATTGGTAACAGATAGTACGGCCGCCTTACACTTACGGACCACCAAGCGAGAAAAAACTGTTCTAAGGAATCTAATTAAGAGACGTATATCAGGAAAAAAAAACTGTATAAACTATTTCAGACCACTGTGTCAAGGCTGTCTTGTGTCTAATATCTACTTCAAACTATGTTTTTACAGTATTTTCACATGGACATCATGCTTCCAACAACTGTAACTTATATCAGACTCAATTAAACAACATTGGGAACCCTCGAATACGGACAATGATTTCATTCTAGGGGGTGTGCCTAATTGAGGGTGTTAACCTAGATTGAGTTCGGTTCTTCTTCTTCTTCTTGTACTTGTTCTTGTTCTTCTTCTTGTTGTTTCTTCTTTTCTTTCTTCTTCTTCTTCTTCTTCTTCTTCTTCTTCGTTCTTGTTCTTTCTTCTTCTTCTTCTTCTTCTTCTTCTTCTTCTTCTTCTTCTTCTTCTTCTTCTTCTTTCTTCTTCTCTCTTCTTCTTCTTCTTCTTCTTCTTCGTCTTCTTCATCCCCTCTTCACATCCCCTAATCTAATCTCTGTGATTGCATCTTTGACGATCACACTATCAGAGAGTTCTGTGTATAGTCTCGTTTTTTTTTTTAAGGAAAACAAAGGGTTAGGAAGGGGGCGGTGCAGGGGCGAGTGATGTGGATCTTCTATAAAGTAAATTACTGCATGAAGTTGAACAATGGGTTAAAACACATTTTTAAAACAGAGTTAAAATCACAACTAAGCATAAGTAATTGAATGAAACTGCAGAATGCGAGAGGGCGACGCCTTTTCTGTCCTGATGAGTGACACTTCATTCCGTGCAAACTTTACACACCAGAAAGTTTGAACATTCATGTCCCAGGTACCTGCATGAACTGCATTCGTCAAAATGAAGGTACATTTATGAAAGTCATGAATTCTTGAACACACTTTCACCTCGAATTTCATGTTTAAAAAAGGTCAAGAAATCGAACAACACACTATAAACAGTTTGAAAAGTCGTCAAATGACAGAGCTGTTCGCTTGAGTACGACAGCCACTTAGACAGCTTTCAACTGAAACATGGCCATTGTTCTAGCGACACTATTGTACAGATAGAGAGTTTTGTCTTGTTTGAACCTCAAAACCCCATCCTTCCCCTGATGGTCACAGGTCACGTGATACACACGTAAACTGCGAATGTTTTGTGTATCTATTGATAGATAATGTATGCGCATCTTCGCTTCCCTTCAGCACTAGTCGAAGAGTCTCTATGTCGTTTTGTATGTGGCCGTGGTCTCTGGTTTCACCAGTTGAAGATCATACGAAGAAACAAATTCCATTGGAAAAAAATTCTTGAACATTGTGCAGCAAGCATAATATCCATCTATGGCGACTGCAACCACACGACTGCTATAGTAGTAAATCATCTACCTTGCAATATGGTAACGTCTTTAATAGCGCCACAGCCGTTCAAGAAGTTGGGACAGCGTCTTCTGTCACTCTTACTTATAATGGCACTGACCAGATAAAATGTTTTAAGGTTTATATTCACGGCTCACTCGTAGCAACATCTCCACAGAACCCACCATCTCGCTTTTCTGTGCTCCATGTGGAACACCGCCACATCCTAATTGCTGGTTTAAAAAAAAGTTTTTTGCAATTAAAAAAAAAAAAAAATTAAGTTACCTTAATGTTGTGAAAAGTGACCATGATTTAGCCCAAATGACTCTTGCTTGGCAAATATAATCGTTACATTTTCTGTAATCTAATCACCGGCCCTCCTTGGCGAACCAGGCTAAGCAGCTTCTAGTATTCCTAACTTGACTAGCATAGCGAGCCAACTGTTTGGTGTTGTACTACGAGTCAAAGCCTACAGGTGTATCTGTAACCAATTCCTTTGTCGTTTCCATTGACACGGCATTTCTGACACGTACCCACATACTTTATATTCTACACCTGTGTGTCCTTTTATTTCTATATCCTGCTTCCAAACAGTTTGAATGATTTCTTTAAGTGTTTTATGCTACTTTGAAAGAACAATTAATCAGCAGAAGAATGGCAGATTAAATTCGATTAATGCATTTGTTACGTAAGCTATTATTATCAGTTTTAACATAACTATTCTTCGACACCTCTAAATAAGCACCTGTGTGTTTTGGACCAGCCGACAAATTGGACTAGTTCGTGGTTTGTTCTATTTATATCCATCCACGTGTTCTATAGAATTTGCTGTCAATGATTTACGATTGAAAAGAGTCTTCTTAGGTGGCTTAGATAGAGACAGAAGGGACTACACATCTTGACAACGATCTCACAAACTGACTGAGTTCACTAATTGCTCTCTGCAGAATACTGCATGTCCCAGCTAGTTTCAATAATTTAGTTATTTTTTTTTTTTTTTTAACGCAGTGATCAGGCACTCTATGGCTGATTGTTTAAACCAGTTTGTGTGGTTCGGTTGATGTAGTCTGATTCATTGTCCTCATGATATTGTCCCTGCTTTTACAAAGAAGCTATCCAGATAACGCGAAGACTTATCCACGATATTTCAGATCCAGGTATGCCAGAAGATAATAATTAATTCATATAAAAATTTTATTTATCGTATCCTATAGAATAGTTAGTCCGCTACATAGAAAGCTGAATGGTACTTGTCTGAAGCTAGTAACTAAATTCAAGTACTTAGAAAATAAATTCTAGAAGGGACATCGGAGTTTGTAGCTGAAGCAAGATAGCATGCCCGAGGAAAGCTGCTAACTGAATTATCAGTCTCAGCGATAAAACATACTTTTAGAGGGATTGTGGGACAATACTTTGAGCCAAATTGATACAGAAGAAGAAAGTCAAATGGATTGCTCATCAGCACGCGGCTACAACTACAAACACAGACACTGCACACAAAACTAACTGATGTGAATCACAAGGTCACCCAAGAAGACGTTGAAATGATGGCATTAAAAAAACTCAACGTCCTACACGGAGTGATAAAAGTCAGTGCTAACCATCCAGTTTTGGAGTCGATGATCACACTTCATATTTTGGTTTGAATCCTTGTAAAACAAGATATACATAAATAATTCTCTCCAAGAGAACATGATTCGTTTTCCTTTTCTTTTACAAATCACGTGAAATTTCTAGTTTGGCTTTTCACTGATATTTCACGCATGTCCTTCAGTTTAAAGAATTGCTGTCAGGGTGAGCAGAGTTTGTTAGAGGAGATTTCTCTCCAGCACGCGGAAATTGTGATTAGTCTAGTGTGAACACTCACAGCCATGGAGACATGTTGGTGCGTGCATGTGTTTGATCCAGCACCTTGTCCGTCAAACTAATCTCTACATTACCCTAATACACTTCTTGAAGAGAACGGACACATTAAATATTCATATTTGGGGTCTGTTTGGCAAGCCGTCTATAAATATGAGGTTCTAAATATACAGTTGCATGTTGCAACATCGTGGTACTTCCTACACAGATGAACTTGGCTGCTCTGGGATATGAAACTAATATACGCGTTTGTCAATATTACTGTAAACATATAAATATTAGTTTTTATGTAATTTTGTGATCTGTAATTTCGACAGAATCGTCAACCTCATTAATTCAGACTTGCATAAAAAAAATCCTCTGACAATTTCCATTAGCAGATGTTCCTAGATTGTCTATTGCTATCTTCAAAATAAGACTAAATACTGTACTGTATAACTGTCTCTACTATGCGAAGGACATATTTTCACTTGCCAATCAATCAAGCTGAAGGTATCGAAAACTGAAATTGTCTTATTGTTCCAGTTTGCATTTTTTCAAATAGGCTGCATCGAGACAATATGTCTGACTTTCTATAAAATCTACTTATTGAAGTATTTTCTTCCACAAGCAAGCAGTAAAATAATTCCTTCCAAACATCAAAGGACTATTTCGGGGCATGTTTCCAAAAAGAACCAGATTCCGAAGCCTCTCTATCGTGTGCGGGACTTGGATAGAGAGACAGAGAGAGAAAGAGCAAAAAAGGGGATACCTAACGCAGTCTGATCTACAGAGACAACAATGGCGCTGAGCACAAAAACGCACACAGTGACAAGGCAGCTAACATAAATATCTAGCAATGACTAGCCAATAGTCTTTAAAACTCAAACTATCGTGTGCCGTTAAACAAAGAGTTCCGCGACGTGAAATGTTTGTAAGCAATTCTACTCTATCTGACTTGTGAATGGCAACTACTGCAGACACTCTACGTACAGTGTTTGCCTAAATATTACCGCTTTCTTAACCACGTCACACGGCACCCTACATGTTAAGATATGCCATAGTAAACTTGTAATTTTACTAAATAGATTTTTACTTTTCTGTTTTTACCTGCAGGGATTCTATTTTTAAATATAGCTTTCAATGGGTTAATTCAGTTCCTAAACATGTATCAACGTGTCATTACTAAATGGCTTGTATGCTATTTTTAGATTAATGAAAATATCTTAGCTGCCTATATATATATATATTTTTTTAAATTTCTGAAACTTTCCTGATCTAGTTTTTTTTTTTTAAATTCGTATTCATCTGAAGTTGCCAGAAGTAGTTTTCTCAGGTAATATGAGATGTTGAGACGCTGACTTGGACACTAGTTCACGGTCATTCAGATATGTGATTAATAGGTCCAGTTGTTTTGGTAGCGAGATTACAGTTTGTCCAGTCTGGACACGAGCACAGAGACTCATCTGCATACATCGACTATAAAAATGTCATCTCTCGACTGAGGCCGAGCGGGTCCGGCAGTTTACTGGTGCAGCCGTTGTCGTCCAGGACTGCTAAGGTCGCTGAGGCTGTTGGGAAGGAAGAGTGCGCGTGAGAAGGATAGGGTTGAGGTGTATGTCAGACGGCAGCACTGTTGCCCACAGTGGCGTATTGGCAAGCGGAGAGTGTTGGCTGTCGAGGCGGCATCGAGGGGTAAAATGGTGACGAGTGAGCCTTAGCTTTGAGCCGAAGCGCTGCAATGCTGTTAGAACACTGGTCGCGGTTGTAAATATAGGGCGGGGCTGGAGGTCCATATGGGCAGGCGGCTCCGGGAGAGTTCATAGATCCTGGAACACCTCCAGATCCCATCATGCTGGAGTTGATGCTGCTGATCGGACCCGGTGACGATGAGAACCCACCTAGAGACTGAGTGGAGACCACGGACGAAAGGTGGGGATTCACTGGGCTGTTCATGTTGATGCCCCAAGGGAAGGTCTTGGAGCTCAAAGGCGAAGGGACTTTTGTGGCCCAGTTCTGATAAGGATATCCAGTGTAAAGCCCATCATCGAAAGGAGGCTGCATAAGCCCATTAAACTGTGGACCAAATCCAGTCTTGAAAGTTTCCATGTTTCTTTCTCGCTTCCTCCATTTGGCACGTCTATTCTTGAACCAAACCTGAAAGCAAAATAAGGAAAATATCACCAGATGATGCTAACAGATCAATGAAATATTGCAATGTTTACAATGAGAGGAAGATGAAAGAAGGATAGCATGTTACTGTTGCCCCATTAATATTGTAATCTACAAAGTTTTACGCTTATCAACTTACATGTACAATTTATCAGCTATCCTATAGATGTCGCATCACTACTGATTTCACAATGACTAGCACAGTATATCAAGCAGCGTCTAAGAAAAGGTACACTCAACACACTCACTACATTCAACAACGGTTTCAAGCCATTTTTACCGAACACACCCACAACTTTCAGGAAAGGTTTCAAGCCATTTTACCGAACACACCCACAACTTTCAGGAAAGGTTTCAAGCCATGTTTACCGAACACACCCACAACTTTCAGGAAAGGTTTCAAGCCATGTTTTTACCGAACACACCCACAACTTTCAGGAAAGGTTTCAAGCCATTTCACGAGCCACACCCACAACTTTCAGGAAAGGTTTCACATTTTTACCGAACACACAAACGTTTCAAACCATTTTACCGAGCACACCCACAACTTCAACAAGAAGGAAAGGTTTACTGAGCACACCCACAACTTTCAGGAAAGTTTTTCAAACCATGTTTACTGAACCATGTTTCAGGAATGGTTTTAAGCCATGTTTACTGAACACACCCACAACTTTCAGGAAAGGTTTCAAACCATGTTTACTGAACACACCCACAACGTTCAGGAAAGGTTTTAAGCCATGTTTACTGAACACACCCACAACTTTCAGGAAAGGTTTCAAACCATTTTTACCGAACACGCCCACAACGTTCAGGAAAGGTTTTAAGCCATGTTTACTGAACACACCCACAACGTTCAGGAATGGTTTCAAACCATGTTTACTGAACACAACCACAGCGTTCAGGAAAGGTTTCAAACCATGTTTACTAAACACATTCACGACGTTCATGAAAGGTTTCAAGCCATGTTTACCGAACACACCCACAACTTTCAGGAAAGGTTTGAAGCCATGTTTACTGAACACACCCACAACTTTGAGGAAAGGTTTCAAACTATGTTTACCGAACACACCACATTCAGGAAAGGTTTCAAACCATGTTTACCCCAGTGTGGGTTCCGGGGTCCCATTGTGGGGAAAACAAGAATAGACCCACTGCCTCCCCAAAAGCATGTCGTAAGAGTCGACTAATTGGGGAGCTTCCTTTGAAGTCGGAGTGCATCTGCCTGAGAGGCAAGGAACCAATAGTCTTAATTCAAGAGAATGAGATCTGTAAAATTGATGAACACGCAACACTCAGGTTCTGGAGCAGGACTACAGTTCAGTAGTGGACGAGCAACCAGAACCTTCCGCCAGAGTTTACAGCTGGTGAACGCGAAGAAGAAGAAGAAACCATGTTTACTGAACACAATTACCACATTCAGGAAAGGTTTCAAAACCACGTTTACCAGATTACCTTTAAGAAAGGCTTCAGACTATGTTTACCATGCATATTATATCCAGGAAAAAGTTTCAAACCATTTTTACCAAACAAATTACATTCAGGAAAAGATTAAAACCATGTTTCCTGAACAGATTACATCCAGAAAAAGTTTCAAACTTTGTTTACTAAATAAATTACATTCTAGATAATTTTCAAACAATGTTTACCAAACAAGTTATAGTTAGAAAAGGTTTCAAACTACGTTTACCAAGCAGATTAATTTCAAGAAAGGTTTTAAACCGTGTTTAGCAAACAAATTACATTCAGGAAAGGTTTGAAACCAAGTATACCAAACAAATTTCATTCATGAAAGGTTTTAAACCATGTTTACCAAACAAATTACATTTAGGAAAGGTTTTAAACCATGTTTACCAAACAAATTACATTCAGGAAAGGTTTTAAACCATGTTTACCAAACAAATTACACTCAGGAAAGGTTTGAAACCAAGTTTACCAAACAAATTACATTCAGGAAAGGTTTTCAAACCATGTTTACCAAACAGATTATATCCGAGAACAGTTTCAAACCCTATTCACAGACGACCAACCTGGCTAGAACAAGGATCCCTTCCACAATTTAAACATCATCAGGATTGGGTCATAGGTCACAGACTAACAATATATGTATGTATGTATATATATATATATATATATATATATATATATATATATATATATATATATATATATATATTTTTTTTTTAAGACATAGGGGCCTCAGTTGTGTGTGTGTGTGTGAGTGTGGTGTAAATAATAATCTTCCCAAAACATTCAAGAAAAGCTCTTGTGTCATTTTAACTTGGATCAACTCAGTGTATTTAGAAAACACGAAAGAGATCTACATTGGAACACCTTCATTATATCAACACACAGGTGTTATCTGAACAGCGACCCCTAATATCGCTTCTCGTTTGATCCTTTTCCAAACACTTGTCCCAGTAGGATGCAATGGGGATGATAGTATTTCCTGTCTGTCATTGACTGGGCACGAGTGACAAATAATTCTGAGTCTAGGTACCTATAATTATTTTCTGGGGTCCATGGAATCCTTGGCAAGGTGGGTGGGGTTTGACTCGTGGAAAAATATTTATCTTTAAGATAACTCTTGTCTGATGCAGGGATGCCTGCCGCGCTGAGGGACGTTACATAAACAGTCGATTTAGAATGTGACACGAAAATGTTCTAACTGTGACATGTAGATTGTCACATCTAAAATGTTGTGTCCCATATCTGCGTCAAACTAGCAATTATATTTTCCATAAGGGATTGAAAGAAAATATGTTTTTGACATGTCAGCTGCAAGTATTTATTATAGACAATTAATTCCTAGCTCCTACACAAAAGTGGTGTAACGTCTCGATTGGTTTGTGCTTATTATTTTGACACGAATACATTCAAAAGCAGTAAATTAACAGATCCCATTCCACGCGTTGACACATACGGCATATATGGTGCTTGCTCCATTATTATCTAGACCAGTTAGACAAAGCATCTATTTGTTCTGTCTTTGCATACATTTTGGAATTGGCTGTGTGCCGATGTTCTCTTTTTTGACGTCATTTCTGATGTTATCTCTTCTGGTCAGTCCTGCGGCCCTTCTGAGACATTTCATTTCCATGGTTACTGATTGTATTTTCTGGTTTGTTGTTAGTGACCAAGACTGAACAGCCTTAAAAGTCTATGGTTAAGAACCAGCAAGGAGATAACAATTAGAATTTTGAGAGCATGCATCTTCCCTGTGGCTACATACGGATGTGAGTCGTGGACTATCCCTGAGTCCTTAAGAAAGAGAATAGGGGCGTTTGAGCTGAAATGCTATAAAAAAATTCTCAAAATATCTTGGACAAAGAAGATGAGAAATATTGACATCTTAAAAGATCTGAACATCAAGGAATATTGGCTAATAAACAGCATCCTTTCTCGAAAGCTGAAATATTTTGGTCATATCAAGCGCCACGACGGATGGAAAACAATTATAGCAGAAGGCATGGCACCAGGAAGGAGGGGCAGAGGCCGACCGACACGAAGATGGGCAAGGGATATAAGTAACTCCTTAAGTGTGAAAGTGCATGAGGCGGGAGAAACTGGCAAGAGACCGAGTTTCTTACAGGCAGACTGTGATGAGAGCGACGTTCTGCAAAGGACCTGCTACATGATGATGATGATGTTAGTGACCATGTCTGCTGCTTGGTAGTCTAAATGAGAATGAGTAGGCTCTGTGCGAGTTGTTTCTTTGTACTGATTGGGATTGTCTTGTGCTGTAGAAGAAAATAAAGTTGGGGCAGAGGTAGGTCAGGGGTAGGCTTAGCTGTCCCAATACTTGTTTTACCGTACTGCATCGGATTGACATTTATTACTTAGGTTTGGCATCTTAGGTAATTGTTGTTCCACATTTTTTTTTTAAATATCCAGAAAATATGAGTTGTTAAGCCTTTGATTCAGTACTCAAGATATCGCAACCCTTCAGTCTTGATTCCAAAATATGTACCGTAAATCTGGGAGGAATGTGGCTTTTCTTCCTACCCCTTTGCCGTGAACCCGGACCACAAGGAGTTCGTCACCCGGACGCCACGCAGTCAGCATTAACCAGAGGAGCTAGTGAGCCGGGCATTACTATTCATTAAATCCAGATGGCGCTTTATGCTTTTTTAGTACCACAGTTAAGCCCTCTTTCTTTCTTTCTGTTGATATTATATCTGTATTTATAGTGCTGATTCTTATAATAATTGTTTAACCGTAGATGTGCGATGTTGTAGTAATTGGTCTGACTATATTCACGTCCTGGTCGTCAGCAAAAGGTAGTTCATTGAGGCAACATTTCTGTGTACCCAGTTTAATCCAAGTCGAGAGCGAGGCCACTGATCATTGCTATCACAGACTAATGTCTGTTTCGACGACTAAATTCTGTTGCTATCTTGTCTTTTAAAGGAAGCACCGTGGCACCAAAATCATAATGACATAAAGTAGATAGCGTGATGCATCATCTACAGTGTGTTATCGTCTACAACAGGCACATTTCACCCCATTCGCTAGGAAAACAAAATTACGTGACAAGGGTTGCTATCACTTAAAAGGGGAGAGAAATAGCCAAATTTGCGCTGAGGGGAAATAAATCTTACAATTATAGATACAGACAATGTCAATTTAAAGAGAATGGGCTGTTTCATTTAGCTTTTTTTCTCCTGTCTATTTTGCCCTTTACTTAACAAAATGACACGTTTTATAGTTGTAATTTTGCTAGGAAGAGACTTTATTAAAAGGAGGTAAAGGCAGGGGCGGCTTCTGTAAGATACGAGGGCTGATTGAGGACTGGTCTGTTTGCTGTACACTGACACAACAATTAAGATCTCGTTCTGATTGACAGCGGAAAACCGGACACGTTAATCTAGATCGATACTAGATCTCTGGCTCCTACAAGGAAGGTATAAATTAATTTCCAGCATCGTACTTCCTCTCATTCCTCCTACATAGCATGTTTAGAGGCTGGGAGTAGTTCAATCAGATAG